TCCTTCCTTCCTTCCTTCCTTCCTTCCTTCCTTTCTTTCTTTCTTTCTTTCTTTACAGAGGGCAGGTCTCTGCTTGAAGGACAGAGTCCTCTTTCAGAAGGCACCCTCTCCAGGACGGGCTCTCCAACCCAGGTTCATACCCAGAGAAAAGAATAAGGATAAAAAGTCCCAACAGGGAGGTTGGCAAGTCTTTGGCTCCAAATCCCAAGTCTCAAGTCTGAGTCCCTATTAAAAACAAGCTCCCCCAGGAAAAAAAGGGGGAAGGATTGGGTGGGCTCCGAGTTGCAAGTTGAGTTGGAGTCATTGCAGGAGAAAAACAAAGTCAAGGCCGAGCCGACTCGCTGGTGCAACTCAAGTCTGACTTGACAGCAAGTCCCGCTCCGAGCCGACTCGATGATGCAACTCAAGTCTGACGTGACAGCAAGTCCCGCCATTTGAGTCGCCATCACTGGGCATTGGGGATTTGAAGTTGCCCACCCCCCGTTTAGCAGCACCTTGACAGAGAAGGGTAGTAACCAAACAAGTCACCTGCTCCCTGAGATTTCCTCGCTGGGATCTGATTTCTCGTAATTCTCTTCATGCTCTAGAAAACATGACCTCTTTTGCACCCGCCCATCTACACCTCCGCCTTTGCACTTTGATGAAAATGGGGATCTTCTTTGGTTGTTGTTTTTGGAGGGGGGGTGGCGGCATGTAAAACGACCACCCTGGCAAATGCAGAAAGGTGTTTGCAAAAGTTTGCAAAGTCCGGGCGACCGGGTGGGCAGAGTGTCAGCAAGCCAAAGCTTTAAGGAAATGCTTTGAATAAGAATGCTAAGAGAAGGGACCTCTGAAGGTGCCGGCTGGGCCCACACTGGGCTCCACTCCATCACCGGCAGAGGCCGAGGCGCGTGGCTGCCCTTCAGCCGCCAAATGTTGCTTCCTTGTGCCCGGGTGTGGGTGGGGTGGGATTTTGCTCACATCTGCTCCGGGTTCTGGGTCCACAGGGAGAGGAGACGAGGCGAGCGCCCTCCTTACACCCACCCACCCCCATCTCTTGGCTGACATCTCAGCTGCTGCTGCAGAATATTTGGGATGGATGGAGAGAAGCAAAAGGGGGGGGGGTAGACCTTTCACGCTGTTTTGTGTGGAGGCGGCTGGCGGCACGTGTCGGGGAGGGGGGCAGCTCAGGAAAGGGGCACAGGGCCTTTCCACGCCGATGAGCCTCCCCTTTTGTCTGTCCCCGTGTCTCCTTGCACCCCCCCCCGCAGCCAAATTGATTTGGAAGACGTCTCCCGGCCCATTGACCACACAGAGAGAATGGCCAGACTGGCTTTCCATCCTTTTGTGTCCGAATTTAAACTTGAGACACATGTCGGCCTCTCGCCGAGGATCGCCCCCCCCCCGGCCCTCCTGCCAGCCAGGCCCCAAATCTCCAGAGGCTCCCTCGGCTTTTAGCGTTCAAAAGAGGC